AACAAATGTAATTCAGTAATTCATATTTATTTGATCTGGGTTTTTAATATGTTTTTCTTTTCCTGATATCATTATCCTATACTGCTAGGTTTATTTCTCGTATTTCAATGGTTCTTGTTCCTAATCTCTTCCTTCTTGATCATTCTTCTTCATCTTCTTGCTATGGAAAATTTAACCACAGTAGTAGTAAGTGAGAAAAGAGGTAGTAAACCTATATGATAAATGAGATTAGGAGATTCAGTTAATAACTTTTTTGAATGGGGACTCATAAGAAGAAACATATGACTGACTTTCATTTTCAACTGTAGACTATATAGATAGGTGGTTACTACAATGTAAACAATTTTAGTTTCTTGCTCCTTTACTTCTTTGTGCATTGTATGCATGCTGAGGATTATAATCTAAAACTGCAAATATTTCAGTACATTTCACTAGGTGACAGTTACAAGGAGTACAGAAGCAGGTGTTCAATTGACAATCAAATTAGTATACTACCATTGCTATCTGCCTCCAGAAATGAAGAATACTATCTAACAGCTACTGTCTGTCTAAACTTGCTCCCTTACTTAGTTAGATATGATTATTTATTATAAGAGCATAATCATGAAGAAGTACAGCAGCTTAGTAAAGAAGGAAGGCAAATTATATAGTTACACTATATGTCTCCCAATCTCACTTGAGATAGACCATCTTTGTAAACATGCAATGCTCACACTGGTTTAAACTCATTCATTAAGTGAATATACATGCAGTACTTACCAAGTACATTGATACTGTCCTAGGTACACAGAAATATATTCATTTCTATAAAAAGCTTTATTTCTATATATTTCTTAAGGATCTTCAAGGACATTAGTCTAGAGGACCTCTAAGACACCTTAGAGCCTATGATCAATCAGCAAAGTATGGTCTATGACCTTTTGGGGGCGTCTCCAAACCTATTCAGAGAATATGCTACGTCAAACTATTTTTACAGTAATACCAAGACATTATTTGCCTTTTTCTCTACATTGATACTGATGGTACAAAAGCACTGGTGAGTGTTGCTTTTAGCATGAATTAAGGAAGGCACCAAGTACCAGTAAGTCACTGTATTCTTCACCACCAATTTCACTTACGAATGTTTGACCTGTAAGCTAAATTATCTGGGTTTTTTTTTTTCATGAAAACTACTTTTCCTTAAAAGACCCCATAATAAAATTATGGTTTTTCAGACTTGGGTGTTTGGCATACATTTTCTTGAAAAATGAACAAAGTGACACTATCACTTGAAGGACAAAACTGACAGCATTTGTTGCTAATAATGCTGGTTCAAACTACCAATGTAAAACTGGAAATTTGGAAATCTTTCACCTGACAGGTTAAGCTTAACAGCTTCTCAATAATTAATCACTTTATGATGATATTGATAGCAATATTAAGAAATGTGATTTTTTAAGTGTAAGATAAAATATGTCAGCACTTGGAAGAATCTGTATTATTCACTGAAACTAATATCTTCTAAGTGGCCAGTACATGATGCTATAAAATCATACATGTGAGAAAGACCCACTCAAAGTACAAGACGGTACTCGCTTTGGCAGCACATATACTAAAATCAAAATGCAACACAGACCAATGAATTTTAATGCAACAGAGTATAAACACACTTACTGATATGATTTCAGAGTGTATACTATAACCCTGAAGGAATGACTACTTGTTGATTTCTGAAGTTGTAGTAAAGGAAAATATCCACCATTATCTGAAAGACTATTAAGACATTCTTTCTTCCTTTTTCCAATTTCTTGTCTGTGTGAAGCTTCATTTTTATAATACATTTCAGCCAAAGCAACATATCACAACAGATTAAATGCAGAATCTCTCTTTTATTAAGCCAACTATTAAAGAAATTTATAAAAATGTAAAACAATGTTCTTTTCACTAATTTTTGTTTTAGAAAATAGTTCTCACAAAAATATAATTCACATTAATATTTGGTTTATTTATTTTTTTTTATTTTATTTATTTATTTTTAGACAGAGGGAGAAACATCAATATATGGTTGCCTCTCGCATGCCCCCTACTGGGGACCTGGTCTGCAACCCAGGCATGTGCCCTGACTGGGAATCAAACCAACAACCCTTTGGTTTGCAGGACTACACTCAATCAACTGAGCCACGCCATCCAGGGCAGTTTATTAATTTTTTTAAAAGATGAGTCAATAATATTTTAAAATTTCTTGGTTTCAAATTCTAATACAGAAAATATGAAAATGTATTATCCACATAAACAAAAGCTATTGGGGTTTTAAATACTTTTAAGAATATAAAGTAGTTCTGAGAGCAAAAGAATGTTTAAGAACCAACGGCCTAGAAAACGGTCCAGTGAAATTAGTACTATGTGATCTATATAACAATCCACATATTGCAAGTTCATGAAAGGGCGTTAAAACTATTCTGTACAATCTGTAATGTTGGATACATGACCTTATGCATTTGTCAAAATCCAAAGAACTTTAAAGCACAAAGAGTAAACCTTTCTGTATGCAAATTTTAAAGTATAATTTAAGAGGTTAGGGATCCCGGGAAGGAATGTAATAAGAGAATCTAACTATTAAAAAATATACATACAGCCTCACTGAAGGGCAGGGTGGAAACGGCACTGACCTAAATAACTTTGGAAATCAGTAGAGTCTACAAGACTAAAGGTAACAGGAAGTATGCACAAGCACTGTAGTTTTCCACCTAGGAATAAATGTATATTTCTTTCTTAGGAAAAAAAAAAGATTTTATTTATTTTTAGAGAAAGGAGAAGGGAAGGAGAAAGAGAGGGAGAGACACATCAATGTGTGGTTGCTTCTCATGTGCCCCCTACTGGGGACCTGGCCCGAAACCAGGCATGTGCCTTGACTAGGAATCAAACCTGTGACTCTTTGGTTCATAGGCTGGCGCTCAATCCACTAAGCCACACCAGCCAGGGTTAAATATACATTTCTGATACTACTATACAAATATAGGCATACCTTATCTTATTGTGCTATCATTTATTGTACTTACACATATTGCATTTTCTATAAATTGAAGGCAAGACCCTACACTAGCAAAAAGGTCACAATTTTCTTTGATACTTATTGTGGTGGTCTGGAATCCAACCTGCAATATCTCCAAGGGATGCCTATATATGGGAATTGAGCAAGTAAACAAATGGATAACAGATGGCTGGAGCCACATTTCTCACTGTTGGAGTGGGAGTATACAGATAAACAAGGAAAGCAAACTAAAATGATCCATGTGGTAATGGATTAGAGTTGGAGACATCAATATAAACTCATATTTAACTTAATATAGACACATATGATTACATATAGAAATAAATATAGCTATGTATACAGTTTAGTATACACATTTGTATTAGTATACATGTATATATATTTCCATGCTCTATCAGCTGAGCACTTATATTAGTATACACGTATATATATTCCCTTGCTCTGTAAGCTGAGAGAGCCTAAAGCAACATGACCCAGCAACAAAGAGCATACCTATTGTTCAGACCTTGGTTTCTAATACTGTTTTCCAATAAAAGGAACCAGGGCTCATTCAAGGAATGGCTGATTCTAGGACTGGCATAGGAAATATACATGAGCCTGGAGCATCTTATAATACCAGAAAATAAAGAAGTACTAAAAACCAAAATGAGACAAAACCCACCTACATTAATAGGCATATGTTAAGGGGACAGAGAGCCAACTGAAAGAGCTCCCGATGGCCAATCCTGGGACAATCTGAGTGACAAAATAAAACAGTACGAGATTATAACCCAAAGTATAAAATAATTACCTACTACTCCATACTGATATAAATAAATGATTGAAAAAATACAAAGGTGGAAGAAAGGAGACAAATCCCGCTTGCAGAATAATTCCAAATAATTGATGTAGATATTCTGTTCTGAAGGAAGGGGAGCATAAATCTCCACAGCTTAAGTGTGTGCTGCACATAGTGATTTACTGTCAAAGAGTACAGTAGGGAAAGGGAGATAAAACCAGAGCCTTGGCTGGTGTGGCTCAGTGGATTGAGTACTAGCCTGCGAACTGAAAGGCTGCTGGTTCAATTCCCAGTCAGGACACATGCCTGGCTTGTGGGCCAGGTCCCCGGTTGGGGGCATGTAAGAGACAACTGATTGATGTATATCTTGCATATCACATCAATGTTTCTCTTCCTCTCTTTCTCCCCCCCTTCCTTCTCTATTTACAAAATAGAATAGTTTACAATGGACAAATCAGATACCACTTTTAAGCCAGGTGATCAAGCTCAGCAGCAACAAGTGAGAAATCATGTTGATAAATACAACCTTGATACAATGTGGTAAAATGGCACTTTACCTCCCATAACCTTATAAGTCCCAGTCTTATCATGAGAAAAAAATAAGTCAGTAATTCCAATAGAGGGTATTAGAGGGTCAAATACTAAAAAAGTATCCAGATACAAATTCCTACAAAATCAAAAACAAAGAAAGTCTAAGAAATTGTCACATCTACGAGGTCCCTAAGGACACATGACAAGTTAATGTAATGTGGTATCCTGAATGAGATCCTGGGACAGAAAAAGACATCAGGTAACAACTAAAGAAACAGGAATAAACCATAGAATTTAGTTCATAATAATGGTCAATTCAAGTTCATTAATTGGAACAAATGTACCAGCCAGATGTAAGATATTAATCATAAGGAAAACGGAGCAGGGAATATGGAAACTCTCAGTTTTTCTGTAAATATACATGGTTTCTAAAGAATAAATATTTTTAAAAGTACCTTAAAGTACTGACTTTGCATTACAGATACTTACACAATTAATTATAAACAGCTGAAACTGTTGGCCACATCAAAATATATCTTTAATTCCTTCTAATTCAGACAGGCACTTGCAATGAAACACCCTGAAAACTCCACTTTTCAGCTTCATGAAGTAGTCTACATACTTTTAAATATAAAGTTTAACAATGGATTTTGAACTTACCATTTCTTTCTCCCATCTTTTGGATGTTGTTCATAAACACAAAACTCTTCAAAATTAACTTTATCAAATGGCTGAATCACTTTGACTGGAGGATATAATTGGAACCAACTGTGGTCTCTATGAAATTTCCAGTCCTCAGAGAAAAAGAAATCATTATACCATTTTAAACCCAGTATTCTTTGACATTTGAATGTTCAAATAGAAATTGTGATTGAAGAAACTTTATGAATAGGCCAACAGTGACAAGTCCATGAATCTTCATCAATTAAATATTTATAGTTGTATCAGATCACTGACAATATCTTTACATTAAAAAAAAAACAACTCCATCTTTTGGTCCATAAATGCATAAAACATTCTGTAAAGAAAACAATAAAGAATGGTGCATAAGTATAAAGAATGAAATACATAAGAAGAGACTGTTATATAACAATAGCTCTATCTTTTAAAAACACCATGATCTCTTATGAAAAAAGTACATATTAATTAGAAAAATGTATAAAATGTCCAAACTAGAAAGCTACAGAGAAATTAAGAATTGCCCATATTTAATATATTTTTAATTAACAGAAACTATCCTCACTTTATAAATACTTTACAGAACCTTTAAAATGGGTATAGAGTTGCAGTGGAATAAGACTTAACCACGTAGAATAGTCCCTGGCACATAAAAGGACTCAAATAATGCACTTTCCCCTGGTCATTAATATTTTTCTATAATATGGCTTTTAAGTGTACAGTGTACTTTGGTCAATAATACATGTATTAAAATATGCTAAAGAATTTTAATAATTAAAATTTAGTAAATTATTAATTAGTACCATACATAAACCTCTACACTGAACATTTATATCATTTTTATTTTTTCAGTAATAATTAATGCTGTACTATGTTTTATGCATATCTATGTTTATTCCCTTAAGATATATATATACCCAAAAGTGGAATAGGTCAAAAAGAGATCAACAGTTTTCAGTCTCAAGACATGAGTCAACAGATGATAAATTCTCCCACTCCCACAGATACACTAGTATTATTTTTTTTAATTTAAAACTATGTAGTCATGCTGAAAACAAACAAGGAATTCTTTATGGACCAACTCTGTGAGACCTCTCTGGGGAAAGAAACAAAAGAGAAGCTATACAGATAATGTCAACCACCATCATAATACAGTAAATTGAAAAGCAAAACCTCTCAGAGGAGATGAGTGCACACTGAAGAGTCATCAATCCTCTGAGGAAAGCTATACTGTGAAAAAGATTTAACAGACCCACAAATGGATGGATTTAAATTCAAGAGAAAAATTAATAGAGCACCCTGAAAATAATTTTAAAACAAATGTTACTGTATTTAATATCCCCAAAGAGCAAAAGAAAAAAACCTCATCCATTAAATAACATACAATTTTGAAAAATAACCAATTAGATACATATATTGAATATAAAAACAGTTGTTACCCTGGCCAGTGCAGCTCAGTAGGTTGGAGTATAGTCCTATAAACCCAAAGGTCATGGTTTAGTTCCCAAGCAGGGCACATCCCTGAGTTGGAGGTCTGGTCTCAATTGGGGTGAGTGCAAGAGACAACCGATTGATGTTTCTCTCTCATATCCATGTTATCTCCCCTTATCCCCCTTTGCCTTTCTCTAAAATTAATAAACATGTTCTCAGGTGAGTATTAAAAATAAAAAGTTGTTGAATAAACTAAACAGATGACTAGATAATAGCACAAACTCAGATGAAGGGCCATTTGGTAAGCTCAAGGACTGAGTTGAGTATAATTCACTCAAAACAGAGAGCAAAGAAATAATAAGAGGAGTAATAATAAAATAGAATAAAGATGCAATAAAGACCAAGAATTTCTCAGAACTGGTAAACACATAAGCCCACTAGAGTCCACTGAATGCCAAGCAGGATAAAATTCTTAATACACACCACTAAACAACCTGTGGATAAACTTCAGAATATCAAGAAAAAAGACAAAATCTTACAAGCTTCCAAAAAAACCTAGATTATCTGAAAGGAATATGTAACAGACTGGTAATCAGATTTCTCATCAGAAATGCCAGATGTTAAAGGAAAATAAGTCTGCACAGTATTCTGAATCCCAGAATGTTGTTTTAGCCAAGCTATCTTTCAATACTTAAGATTAAAAACTAGAGGACTTCCAGCCAAGATGGAGGCATAGGTAGACACACTGTGCCTCCTTGCACAACCAAGATAGACACAACAATAATTTAGAAACAGAACAACCAGAACTGACAGAAAATTGAACTGGATGGAAGTCAGACAACCAAGGAGTTAAAATAAACATGTTCATCCAGATCCATAGGAGGGGCGGAGTCAGGCAGCTGAGTAGAGAGGGGTCACAGCATAAAAAGCAAGGGGACCTGGAGCCTAAGGCATCCTGGGCACTCAAGCAGCAGCTGGCAGACCCTGGCTGAGGGGTGGCAACTGGCAGACCCAGCAAGGTGGCGATTGTGAAGCAAGGCACTGTGCACAAGGTGCCTGCCTGACCAGGTGGTCCCAGGGTCCCAGCGCTGGGAAATAGAGCCTTGGGGCACTGATTGAAAACACCTGTGGGGGTTTGAGGCACACGGAGAGACTCCCAGCCTCACAGGAGAGGTCGTTGGAAAGACCCACGGGGTGCACAAGCCCACCCACATGGGAATTGGCACCAGAGGGGCCCAGTTTGCTCAGGGGAAGCAGCAGAAGGGACTGAGGTCCCATGGAGAGCAGAGCAAGTGCCATTGTTCCCTCTTGGACCCCGCCCCCCAATACAGCATCACAACCCAGCGACTGGGGTGCCCTGCCCTGGTGAACAACTAAGGTTCTGCCCCTCATAGGTAACGGGTGCAACCAGACCAAAAAAAGAAAAAGAAAAAAAAAAAAAGATGGTTCAAACAGAAGAACAAATGAAAGCCTCAGAACCAATACTTTTAAGCAACCGAGAGACAGCCAACCTATCAGATGCACAGTTCAAAGCACTGGTGATCAGGATGCTCACAGAATTGGTTGATTTTTGGTCGCAAATTAGATGAAAAAAATGAAGGCTACAATAAGTGAAATGAAGAAAAATGCACAAGGAACCAATAGTGATAGAAAGAAAGCTGGGTCTCACATTGATGGAGTGGACCAGAAGGAAGTAAAAAACATACAATCAGAAAAGAATGAAGAAATAAGAATTCAAAAAAATGGGGAGAGGCTTAAGAACTTTCAGGACATCTTTAAACGTTCCAACATCCGAATTATAGGGGTACCAGAAGGGGAAGTGGAAGAATAAGACATTGAAAACTTATTTGAACAAATAATGAAGGAGAACTTGCCCAATCTGGCAAAGGAAATAGACTTCCAGGAAGTCCAGGAAGCTCAGAGAGTCCCAAAGAAGTTGGACCCAAGGAGGAACACACCAAGGCACATCATAATTACATTAGCCAAGGTAAAAAATGAAGGAGAGAATTCTAGAAGCAGCAAGAGATAAGGAGACAGTAACCTATGAAGGAGTTCCCATCAGACTGTCAGCTGATTTCTCAAAAGAGACCTTGCAGGCAAGAAGGGACTGGAAAGAAGTATTCCAAGTCATGAAAGGCAAGGACCTGCATCCAAGATTACTCTATCCAGCAAGGCTTTCATTTAGAATGGAAGGGCAGATAAAGTGCTTCTCACATAAGGTCAAGTTCAAAGAGTTCATCATCACCAAGCCCTTATTTTGTGAAATGTTAAAGGGACTTATCTAAGAAAAAGAAGATGAAAAACATGTATGGTAAAATGACAGCAAACTCACAATTATTAATTACCACACCTAAAACGAAACAAAAAACAAAGCAAACAACTAGAAGAGGAACAGAACCACAGAAATGGAGATCACATGGAGGGTTAGCAACAGGGGAGTGGGAGGAGGAGAGAGGGGGAAAGGTAGAGAGAATAAGTAGCATAGATGGCAGGTAGAAAATAGACATGGGGAGGGCAAGAATCGTATGGGAAATGTAGAAGCTAAAGAACTTATGACTCATGGGCATGAACTTAAGGGGTGGAAGATGGGTGGGAGAGGGTGTGCAGGGTGGAGGGGAATGAAGGAGGGGGAATGGGACAACTGTAATAGCATAATCAATAAAATATATTTTTTAAAAAAGATTAAAAACTAGAGGCTTTTTACACACATTCAAAGAGCCACTGAGAATCTCTGAAAGAAATAAAGAAGTACAGCATGAATAAAACTAATCTGGAAGGAAGTACTGGGGTACAAGAGCATAGTGGGTAACTGAGTAAAACATATTAATGCTAGATAAACACATATTAACAATGGATGCTAATAACAAATGACACAAAAAATGCTAGAAGACAGAACCACAAGAAATTATATTCTTTTTTGGAGAGGTGATGGAAGGGGCTTGTCAAAAGATCAGAAAAAGTAAAGTAAAAGAAGGGAAGTTCTTCATCAGAAGTATATCAATACTTATTTCTCCCTCTTTATTCCCCTCCGCCCTGCACCCACCCACATTACCCGCCTTTAGTTCATATTCATGGGTTGTACATGTAAGTTCTTTGGCTTCTCTATTTCCTATACTTTTCTTAACCTCCCCTTGCCGATTTTGTAGCTACAGTTTATGCTTCTTAGCCCCTGTACCTTTTCCCCAATTCTCTACCTTCTCCCTTCCCACTGATAACCCTCCATGTGATCTCCATTTCTGTGATTCTGCTCCTGTTCTAGTTGTTTGCTTAGTTTGTTTTTGTTTTGTTTTGTTTTTTTTTAGGTTCAGTTGTTGATAGTTATGAGCTTGTTGTCATTGTACTCTTCATATTTTTTATCATATTTTTCTTAGATAAGTCCCTTTACTATTTCATACAAGGCCTTGGTGATGATGAACTCCTTTAATTTGACCTTATCTGCCCTTCCATTCTAAATGATAGCTTTGCTGGATAGAATAATTTTGGATGCAGGTCCTTGCCTTTCATAACTTCAAATACTTCTTTCCAGCCCCTTCTTGCCTGCAAGATTTCTTTTGAGAAATCAGCTGACAGTCTTATAGGAACACCTTTGTAGGTAACTGTCTCCTTTTCTCTTGCTTTTAAGATTCTCTCCTTATCTTTAATCTTGGGTAATATAATTATGATGTGCGTTAATGTGTCCTTCCTGGGTCCAACTTCTTTGGGACTCTCTGAGCTTCCTGGACTTCCTGGAAGTCTATTTTCTATGCCAGATTGAGGAAGTTCTCTTTCACTATTTTTTTCAGGTAAGTTTTCAATTTCTTGCTGTTCCTCTTCTCCTCTGGCACCCCTATGATTCAGATATTGGAATGTTTAAAGTTGTCCCAGGGATTCCTAAGCCTCTCCTCATGTTTTTAAATTCTTGTTTCTTCATTCTGTTGTGGTTGAATGTTTCTTTCTTCCCTCTGGTCCAAACTGATGATTTGAGTGTCAGTTTCCTTCCCTTCACTGTTGATTCCCTGTACATTTCTCTGCCTTTCACTTTGCATAACCTTTACTTTTTCCTCCATTTTGCAACCATACTCAACTATTTCTGTGAGCATCCTGATTACCAGTATTTTGATCTCTGCATCTGATAGGTTGGCTATCTCTTCATCGCTTAGTTCCAATTTTAGAGCTCGATCTGTTCTCTCATTTGGGCTATATATTTTTTTTATCTTGGCACAGATATTACATTGTAAGGGGCAGAGTCTTAGGTATTTGGCAGGGCAGAGCAAACCACGTCACTGGGTTGTGTCGCTGTATGTGGGGGAGTGGTTCAAGAGGGAACAATGCTGCTTACTGGACTCTTTATTTGCTTTCAGTCACTTCCCCCACTACCCACAAACAAATTTGACCTTTCTTGTGATGATTCCCGGGTGGATACATTTGTGTTAGATCTAGTACCCTGTGGGTTTCTTGAACTCTCCTGTGAGGCTGGGAATTTCTCCCGCTGTCACAACCCCCACAGGTTTACCACCAGAGGCTTTGAGGCTTTATTTCCCCGTGCCAGAACCCTGAATGTGAGGTTTGTATAGCTACACAATTGTTCTTCCCTGCTGTCTGCACAGAAATATCGGACTACATAGTCCTCCAGCCACACCTTGCTGTCTCTGCCCCTCCTACCTGTCTGAATGAATCTTCTTTAACTTTTTGGTTGTTGGACTTCCGGACAGTTCAATTTTTTGGCAGTTCTGGTTATTTTTTATTTTTAAATTTGTTGTTGTCCTTCTTTTGGTTGTGCAAGGAGGCAAAGTGTATCGACCTATGCCTCCATCCTGGCTGGAAGTCAATAAATAAAAATCTTAAAAAACAAAACAAAAGACCATGGGAAGTAAATCTCTGCAATGCAAAATTGTGTCATGGCCACAACATAACACACTAATGTGCTGCAGAACACGATCCTTTTTAAAATCTTTCAATATAAGCAACAAAACTTGAAACTCTGGGATAACTCTGATTTCCTTTTCTGGATACCTACATGGCTTCCAAGTCACTTTATTAGGCTCCCAGCACTCTGTCCAAGTCCCTGGGTGATTTTTTCAAAATGTGGATGGTCTCTTTCGAAATTACCACCAGCACTTCACCATCAAGTTTCTGGGAAATGGGAGTCCCCTCCAGGTCCTTAAGCAGTAGCAGCTCAACTCTTCCTCCTGGAACTGGTCCCCAAACCCATTGAGGGCTAGGAGAGAGAAGAGCCAGTTGAGGGGGAGTGGTTTTTAGAGATCATCTTCTTAATCTTACTATTAAAAGACAGACTCTCGCCCTGACTGGTATGGCTCAGTGCATTGTGTGCTGGCCTGCAAACCGAAAGGCCATGGGTTCCATTCCTGGTCAAGGCACATGCTTGGGTTACAGACCAGATCCCAGCTGGGGGCCTGCAGGAGGCAGCTGATCTCTGGTACATTGCTCTCTCTCTCCTTCTCTTTCTCTTTCCCATCCCTTCCCTCTAAAAGTAAATAAATAAAATCTTAAAAAAAAGACAGACTCTCAGATTTTATTCCAAGTAAAGCCTAGCTATGATAGGTTTAAATAAAGAGATCCACTTAAATCATACAAAATATTGCTGACAGGTTGAATGAAAGGATGTGTAAAAAAGATATAACAGCAAATACAAGAAAGATTCACATCAAACAAAATAGAAGTTAATATGCAAACCAATGAAAGAGACAAAGAAATATTTTACACCAACAAAACAATTCACCATGACCATCTAACGGAAATTATGGACTTAACACAAAGTAGGCTCAAGAGAAAAAAATCCCAGTTAGAGGAGTAAGTATAAAAAAGAAATGAGCCTTGGGTGTTGTGGCTCAGTGGATTGAGCGTTGGCCTGCGAACCAAACCAAAAGGTCACCTGTTTGATTCCCAGTCAGGGCACATGCCTGGGTTATGGGCCAGGTTCCCCAGTTGGGGGCATGGGAGAGGCAACCAATTGATGTATCTTGCACATTAATATTTCTTTCTCTCTCTAACCTCTTTCCTCTCTCTCTAAAAAGTAAATAAGTAAAATCTTAAAAAAAAAATAAGCTGCAAGCCACACATCCCCACCTCTTACTCCCAGCATACCATGTCCATAAAGTTTTATAGATGAATTCTACAAAATTTTCAGGGAACAGGTACTTTTTATAGTATCCAAAAGTTCTAGAGCAGGAAAAATATGGGAAGCTATTGAACTTTTTTTAAAGATTAGTAGAACTTGACATGAAAAGAAAAACAAAGCCCTCAAGGCCAAAAGCACTTATGGGTATAAAAGCAAAAACAGAAAGTAAAAGCACACATCAGTAGACAAGTATATTATTAATTAAGATTTATCCCAGAAATACCCCAAAAGCTTAACATTGGAAAGTTTCTCAATTAAATTTTTATATTAACCGATAAATGGAGGGAAACTATCATCTCTGATGCAAGAAAACAAAATAATTCAGCGAGGTCAACAACTATTGGAGGGAGGAGGGAAGAGGGCAAACTCCCAGCAAACTAATACTAAAAAAAAAAAGAATTCTTTAACCTGACAAAGACTATCTACTAACACCTAGCAGCAAAGCATTTTCATTAAAGTCAGGTACAGGATAAGGACATTTGCCACCACTACTCTTATTCAATATTGTACCGGAAGTCTTAGAGAAAGGCAGTATAATAAAGAGACCTAAAGATTATAAATAAGAAAAAAAACCTGTGGAATAAATAAGCAAAAACTAACAAAATAAAATTAAAAGCCAAGGAAAGAATTGGGAGAAAATGTAACATATTTTAACACTGTCAACAAAAAAGGGACATAGCCAGCAGTCACTGAAGAAATTCTTAAAAATTATACATGATACACAGTATCTAGGACACATAAAGAACTCCTTCAATCATTAAGATAACTAAATAGAAAATGGGTATTTTATAAAAAAAAATAGAAATCTACATAAATTATAGGTTAATAAATGAACAGATATTGCAATCTTAGTAACCAGAGAACGAAATCTTTAAAAAATGAGTATCATTTTCATCCATCAGATAAGCAAAAGGTAAGATAGTATCTTGTGTTGGTCTAGATCAGCAATTTCCTACCTTTTTCATCCCATGACACACATAAACTAATTACTAAAATTTTGCAGTACACCAAAAAATGTATTATATATTTTGCCAACCTGCCAAAAAATATAATTTTGATTCATTCACACCAGACAGCTATTGAGGTATTGGCTGTTGTCATTTTTTTTTTAACATGACGATCTATTTTAGTGAGTGCCCCTGACTAAACAGTCAGGAATTGCATGTTTTAAAAGTTCTTGCAGCACACCAGTTAAAAATCACTGGTCTAGATTATAGGGAAAATGAATGGTAACAAATTACTTGTGAGATGTGTAAATTAATAGATATATTTCCAAGGCAAATTTGGTAAGACATTAAAATTAAAAATGTCCTTAACTTAAAACCAAGCAATTCCAGTTTTAGATATTATCTTGAGAAATAGCACATGTGCACAAGAAAACACACGCAAGGGTTGCCCTGCAAGGTGAAAAACTGGAAACAACCTAATGTCCATCAAAAGAATGGCAAATAATATATGCTATACAGTCAAACAAAATAGAATTCAATATGAAAACCAATAAGAGACAAAAATAAGTATTTTACATTAACAGAACAATCTAGGCATACACGAGAATACTATCCAACCTGAAAAAAACCATAAATAACATAATGAGCTATAACATGCATACACGCAAAACATTGTCAAGTGAAGAGTTAGATTTATATAGTATACTATTTCCCTTTTAAAAATTATAAATGCATATATGAACCTATTGAGAATATATAAATACAAAAAAGGACTTGAGACCCTGCATCAGTTTTTGTTGTAGGATTGGGGGAGGGAGAGCGAATTCAGGGATTGTGGATTGTTCTCTTTGTATATTGTTCTCTTTATATACCTGTAAAGTTTAATTTTGTAAGAGGAAATGTAAAAGCGTACCTAATTTAAAAAACATATAATTTTCAAAAAGGGATCGCTTATTTTAAAGCTTTCTGGAGCATATTGCCAAACTGCTTTCAAAAAGGTTCCACCTATTTATACGTCCACCTACAGAGTATCAGCACACTCAGTAATACCTTCTTTTTTAAAAAAGCTCATCAGTGTTGTTCATAACTCCTAAAAATTTAAAAGTAACTTAACTTACAAAAGTAAAACTTTCACTGGAAAAAATATGCAAAAATAAAGTAAAGCATAAAGAAGAAAATTTAAAAATCACTCAATATCATTATCCAGAGACAACTAGTGTCACTATTTTGGAGTGCAATAATGTAAATTTTTTCATATTTTTTTCTTTTTTTTTTTTAGCAGAAAAGTAGTCAGTTTCACTTCAATTTGCAGTTCTTTTTCGTTTTTAAAAAATAGGGTCTTATGAAACTTACCACTTTCTGTTTCCTTAAGTTTTACTTTTAACAGTAAGGACCATAATTTGAATATAAAGCATGTGTCAGGTACCCTTCTAAATATACTTCCCTTGTTCTTATTCTGCGTAACAATCAGACACATTAGCATGCCGTTTTTCTACTGAAAGTGCCAGAAACAAAACATAAGGAACCAGGCACTATGGTTTCAGAGCCCATGTTTTTTTATTCCACTCTATCATCAATTGTGTCTTTTCTTACTTATTAATACATACAGAACTCACTGCAGGTTTCCACATGCCGAAGAGCACAGTTAATTACATACTGTTCCTTATTTTATTACCCACTGGAGAACTACTTACGGGGTTGTGATGAATGATTCAGATGCTCCTAGAATCTGAACTCAACTCCGTGATCTTGGATAAATGATTTTACTTACTTAGGGCTTGTGTAGCCTTACCTGTGAAATGGGTCAGTGGTTAAACCTTCAAGCTCTGCTTCTTGATGTTATACTGCAGTCCATTTCCTGCAGCCCCTTTTACAGCCTCTCGTTCCCAGTTGCTTAGGAATCACCTCACTTTAATATATACACCGCAAGAGAGAGACAGAAATGAGGGTTGAGAACGCCATGCTCCCGTAATCCTTCTCCATCTGGGGTCTGCGTTTGGATGAAAGAAAGGAGGTTGCAAGGGCTCCCCCACGTACCCAGGTCCTGGGTCGAAGGACCCGTCTGGGGGCCACCCACGGCCGTGCCTCAGTTACACCAGCTTCACTGAGTTTTCCTTGTCGCCAGCCAAAGCTGAAGGTTGTGCACTTCACCCACTCTGTTGGTGAGGCTGGGTTGACCAGAAGGTCAGGATACTTTCCAAAGGACCCTGTGGTCCGTAATGCCTTCTGGCCAGCAAGTACTTCACCATTTACTAGATTTAACCTCTGCCGGAGGGAAGACCGCCCAATCTGTTAACACCCGGGGCTCCCAAACGCGATCCCTAACTGAGAGGAGCCGGACACCGCCTGGCCGGGTGCCCATTGGTTGTACACCCAAGGGGTCCACGCCTCAGACTACGCGCGCGTACCAGCGGCAACTAGGAGGTGCCGAAGCGCGCCGCCGTCCGATTTGCTGACAGCGCTCTCGAGCTGTCTCGCGCTCTCTCTCTGAGCCAATGGAAATACCCTCAGTCGAGAGGCCGGCTTCGCTGTTAGTAGCGCAGCTGTTCCTACCGGTAGGTGTTTGGCTGCCATTTTGTGTGTGGCTGAGACTGAGCTTCTTTGCGTTTAAAGCTAATCCGCTCTAGGTGTGGAGAGGTCCTGAGGGACCTGTGAGAGGCGGGGGATAGGTAGGCTGGACGAACAGACCTTTGGGTTTCACTTCCCTGAAAGGGAAAAGTCTTCTTGGCCTGATTCTCACGCCTGCGTGGAGATAGCGGTGAATGGTGTTGGTGGCTTTGGTTTGTTCGTTATTGTGAAGGCTTGGAGACGGGGTATAATGCCTTAGAAACAATTTCTTGAATTCCAGGGAGCCATTCAAATAGTCTTTGCCTCGTTAAGACTCTGACCGTAACTTTTACTGAGACAAGAGGTTGGCTGGAGGACTGGTTCGGAAAGGAAGAGGGCTGGTAATTAATGAAAGGGGGAGAGAGGAAACGCCATACCATTGTGCTCTGGTTCGAAAGAGATGTCTTCATTTTCAGCTGTTGGCGTGGGAGCGGCTCCCGAAGTGTTTGCCCTTCTGTACAGTTATGTTTTGACTAATGCTTTCATTTGATGGCAGTGAGCGTTAGGGTCCGCGTTTGAGCAGTTTTTTTTCACCAGTGTGCAGCCAGCATTCTTGCAGTGATCTTTTTTATTTATATATACATTTTTGCAGGGTTTTTTTTAAAGCTGGAAAATGTTGGTCTTTGTAGAAACAAGTGAAGGAACAATTTTGTTAAATCTTGGTTTCCCTGGTTACGATCTGTAGGAGATTTAGAAATCTCCGGTTCTGCCTTGGCATGCTTGGTCGCTTCCTATGGGGCCTAGGGGAGGCTTTTGTGAGTTAAAGCACCTTAACTTCTGAGTTCTATATGAGTTGGAGAGAAGGACCTAAGAAGTTCCTCTTTTTCTTTTTCTTTTTTTTTAAACCGAGGTAGCAAGCACGAGTTGTCTTTGATTTGAGGGGGAAATTTTTATCGAATCGGAAAACCTACGGGATAAAAGACTGTGTGTGTGAGAGATTATCTTTAGCAGTTTGACATGCCTGAGAAGAAAGCAAATATATTTATCTTGGTGCCTTGAATTTAGTTTTCAATTATTCACGGTTAACTGATGGTCCAGCAGAGTCAACAGTGTTTTGCTGCAGGAATTCCAAAGAAAACAGTAAAATAATGATTAAGTATTTTCTTTTAAACTTTTTTAAATTCATGAATCTTATAAAACGTAAGTTACAAGAGTTCAAGTATCAATCATTTATTTTTATTGATTTTAATGAAACACTAATTTTGTTCCACTTATTTATGCATTCATTGGTTGATTCTTTTTTTAAAAAAAATGATTCGTGAGGCGGTGGTGGGGGGATGAGAGAGAGAAACATCTATTTGTTGTTCCAGTTATATATGCCGTCATTGGTTGGTTTTTGTGTGTACCCTGACCCGCGACTGAACCCACAACTTTGGCATATTGACGACAATGCTCTAACCAACGGAGCTACTTGGTGGGGGCCTCAGGTATCATTAAATTAGTGTTAAATTGATGACTAAGGTGCATGTTAGAAATCAGTGTCTAAGAAACACGAGTTTTCTGGAAAATTTGACTTTCAGTTTGTTTGAACTGTGTTTGTTGCTTCCAATTGATACATAAAAAAATAATATTAAGGATAGGTTCATATCTTTTTTGTAAGGTCTGTTTCTGTACTACAGAGAAATTTAAATAATGAAGATGAGCCCTAAGTGATAATGTTCTATTTACCATTTTTTCTTGAAAGCATACATTCTCAGTAAATGAATACCAAAATGATCAGTCTTACATTTCTTTTGCTAAAGAAAATTTATTGCTTTTCTAGTTTCTTTTTGCCAACTTAAAGTCAAAACACTTCAACTTTAAATTTACTATATTGCTTCAGTGTATTCTGTAACTTTAACAAAAGTAATTTTAAAATAGGCAAGTATCCTCAAATTTTTCTTTCAGGAATACAGTTTTGTAGACATAATGGGAAGATTCTTAGAAATCTTTTAAAATATCACATTTGTATGAATAATGTTAAGTGACTAAGTAAAAATGATTTAACTTATGTTAGAGATTACTTTTCATAGCAATCATATACAAGTTTAGGCTTTCCCATTATCAAATGATGTATGCTGTGTAATTATAGAATATTTTGATAACACCTTTTAAATGAATGTGGTGTTTTGTGACAATATAGATTAAAATTTATCTAAATCACCATAAAAATAAAAAACTGCTCTCAGGACCTGTTTGGAGTTCTTACATTTGGTACTTTAATAATCTGAATGATTTTATGAGCAAAATTTTAGAGTACTTTTGTTACCTGGACCCAAGTTACAGGGTTTCCACTCCTAGGTTCTTGCCTTGCTTGCAAGCAAGGAATTCAGGTGAGAGACAACAGGTATGGTGGAAATGAGAGAGTAGTTTATTTATAGAGTGCGCTTGAGCAGGAAGCTGCCAGCGGGCATCCAGTTGGTATGAGAGCCCCAGGTTTAGTGGAAATAAGATTGCAAGTTTACACTTGAGCATGAAGCTGCAGGCAGGCAGTCAGCTAGTCTGAGTATACAAACTTTTGGGATTTTAGAATCCCCTACCTCCTCTCCTTTCTAGACCTTGGGATTAATACACAGTTTCAAGGCTTTATTTCCTAGATAGTGGAAATGATACATACAGAACTTCAAGGGCTCCAGTCCTGTGCTATCATGGTTTTTCTTGTGATGTTCAGACACCTGGCAATCTTACTGGACTATGCTCAGGACTGTTGAGTTAATTGGCGAAACATGTCTCCCTTGTACTCCCTGCCTTGGTTTACTATTTATCTTACCTAACACTTTTTTTTTATTAAGAACCACATTTAAAATATAATAAGGTTTCCCATTTCAGTAACTCGAAAGCCAAGTGCAAATAATAGTCATTCTCTCAAAAGTTATTTTCAAAATCTAGAAATACCTTGCTATATGCTTTGGAAGAGTTTTGATCATGTAAATAAAATGCGACTTTGGGGAAAAATTTTAAGATTACTCTTGAGAAATACTGTTCTACTTCTCAATAATTTAGTGCATTTTGCCATCATTTTTCTGGTTTTTAATCAGTATGGTCCATTATGGGGACAAATTAAACAATGTGATTAAAAATTTAAAATTATTTAATACAATGTAAACATCAAAATGACCACTGTACTTTGTGCTATTCAACTAATCAGTGAGATTGAACTGAATCATAAAGATGTCCAGTAACTGCTAAAAATGCTTGTGAGATAAACATGTAGGACATTCAGATTATTTCACTTAAAGGAGGAACGTTTGAAGTATTATATATTTGGCTTTTTTTAAGTGGAGGAATAGAGACACTATGATGTTACTATTACTTCTCCCTTTGTGATCTCATTTGTTATTTTCTTTAGAGGGAAGGAGAGACGCATCCATGCGTGAGAGAAACATGGATCAGTTTCTCTTGTACTTGTCCCAACCGAGGATGAACCTGCAACCCAGGCTTGTGCCCTGACCAGAAGTTGAACTGGTGACCTTTTGCTTTGAGCTCTACTTTTTTTTTTTTTTTTGGAGTTTTTTAGAGTTGTATCTGTTTTTGGAGAGAGGAAGGAAAGGAGAAAGAAAGGAAGAGAAACATCAATGTGTGGTTGCCTCTCATGTGCCCCCGCCCCGCCCCCCCCCCCCCCACACACACACACAGACACCTGGCCTGCAACCCAGGCATGTGCCCTGACTGGGAATCGAACTGGTGACCCTTTGGTTCATAGACCCATACTCAATCCACTGAGCTATACCAGCCAAGGAGAGACCTTTTACTTTTTATTTTATTTTATTTTATTTTTATTTTAATTGTTGTTTAAGTATAGTTTTCTGCCTTTTACCCCCCACCCCCAGCCCTCCCCACCTCCCTCCCATTTCCACCCCCCCTTGTTATTGTCCATGTGTCCTTTATACTTGTTTCTTTCTGCAAACCCTTCCCCCCCTTGTTATTGTCCATGTGTCCTTTATACTTGTTTCTGCAAACCCTTCCCCCTTTCCTCCGAAATTCCCTCCCTTTACTTTTGTGACACCCAGGCAACTGAGCCACACTCGTCAGGGCTGTTAAGTTCTCTTTCAAGTTCTTAACACATTACTCAAACCCTTTGGACAGTTAAATCAACTCAATTTGTATACAGTTCTCCCTCTTTTATGTTTCTTATTTTAAGTAACTTGAAATCTTACCACACCCTTTTGCCCAACAATATTATCTATTGGTTCAACCTCCAAAATGGTTTTTCTTTACAGATTTCTATTCTCATAACTGCTGCCCTAATTTAGACTTCTTCCATTTTTTATAAAAACACTTACATGACACATTGTATTATTGGTAAAGTCCGCACTCCTCAACTTGGAATTTGTATTAAGATAGGGGTTTGGCTGCTGTGACTAAGAAACTTTTTTAAAAAAATAAACGTTTATTTTTTTCCCTAGGTAAATGTTTGAATTGATGAGGTGGCTTTGCTATAGAAAGTTGTCAGGGACCCCAAGCTTCCTCTAACCTGTTACTCTGCCATCATCATGCAGCTCCATCTCATGGACTAAGATGGCTCCTCTTTCACTTGCTGCCATTATGTCTCACATGCTTACATAAAAGGTTAAAGTGGACTATAGTTAGGCACTTAGAATACTTGTAAGTGGTAGTAGTAATAGGGTTTTATTCTCTCAATTTTTTTAAAGTTGTGTGTTCTAAGTAACAGTTTGATTTCATGACCTTTTGATGGTTCTGTTGGGTTCTATGCTTATATTTGGAAGGAGTAAGGTTGATAGCTTGTGACTTTCAGATACTGTGCTTGTAGACTATATTATTACTTGCAGACCTA